CGGCTCGTAGATGTTGAGTCCGGGTCGTCTTGCCCGGCGATGCCCTCGAGCGTGAGGAAGGTGCGGATGAGCAGGATGATGTACGGCGGCGTGTACATCTGCCAGAAGAAGCCCATGTCCCCGAGGACGATCGACAGCGCGCCGAAGCGCGACCCGCCCCCCGGGCACGCCTATGGGGAGATATGGGGAGATATGGGGAGATATGGGGAGATATGGGGAGATATGGGGAGACCCGCCGCCCGGGCACGCCTGAGGGGTAGGGGATGGGTTCGGGTGCCGTGGGGGGTAGGGGACCCGCCGCCCGGGCACGCCTCCAAGGTAAGGTAAGGTAAGGTACACTTCTCCACACACACGAGGTGGTGGGGCAAGGGCAAGGCGAGCCCTCGCGTCTCCACGTCTGACGACAGGAGCCCCACGGCATTCAAAGTGCAAGGCCCGTTGCGCGTGGGTGAGCGGTGTGTGTGGGCACGCCTCCATCCGCTCGCGCAGCTCCTCGGCCATGATGGCGGTCAGGTCCGGGCCTACGGGGAGACATGGGGAGATATGGGGAGACATGGGGAGACATGGGGAGATACAGCTGACCAAGGAGCTGAGGCTCGAGATATGGGGAGATATGGGGAGATATGGGGAGACCTGCCGGGTGCGTCGTCTGCCACGGGTCGCTCTCCTAAGAAAAAAAGAAAAGCGACTGTAACAGCTCTCAAAGGAGCTCTCTCCTCCCTCCCTCCCTCCCTCCCTCCCCCTCCCTCCCTCCCCCCCCCCCCTCCTCCTCGCCTTGGCGCGCCACTCGATCGGCGTGCCGATGAAGCCCGTGTCGACAAAGGCGCGGACGAGGCCGACGTAGTCCTTGGAGAGCACGCACTGGATCCCGCTCGCAAACGCCTCCATGATGCCCTCCTCGACGCCGCTCATCAGCCCAAAGTCGAGGAAGACGAGCCGCCCGTCGTCGGCTAGCATGATGTTGCCTGCCATCCAGGTGGTGGCAAGGGTGGCGAGTGTGTGTGGCAAGGGTGGCAAGGGTGGCAAGCACGGCACGCATGGCAACTACGGCAACTACGGCAAGCACGGTAAGCATGCCAAGTATGGTAAGTATGGAAAGACGGGGTAGTTGCCTTCGTGCGGGTCGGCGTGGACGATGCCGGTCAGCACCAGCCCCGCCGTCACCGCCTCGCAGCTCATGAAAGTCATCCGCATCGCCTCCTCCGGCGCTAGGTCGGAGAGGTGGCGGCCGTGCACCCACTCCATCGCCATCGCGCGGCGAGTCGTCAGCTCGGGGAGTGTCACCGGCACCTGCGTGCTGAATACGCCGACATCAGGCCGGGAAGACGGTACTGTGCAGCGTCACGGTACTGTGCAGCGTCTTCGGAGCACCGCATGAAGACAACGGAGAGGAGTACAGCGGAGTACAGCGGAGCACAGCGGAATGCGGCGGAATACGTCTCCTCTCGAGCGCTGGTCGGAGTACAAGACTGCGTCTTCCGCTTCTAGGCACAGGGACGTCCACATAACCAAGGAAGGAGAGGGAGCGCTTGAAGGCCGCCGCGTTGCGCGCCTCGTTCCGAAAGTCGAGCTCCTGCACGATTCCACTCGCGACGAGGTCAAAGATGGCAAGCAGGTCGCCTAATTAGTGCCACTTAGTGTCACTTAGTGTTAGTTAGTGTAATTGAGTCGAAGATGGCGAGCAGGTCGCCGTTCCAGTACCGGCCTTGGATGGCCTTCAGCGCCACGATGATGACGGAGCCGTCGAGCAGGCACTGGCGCAGCGCGCCCGGGCGCTGAACCTTGACGGCGATCTCGCGACCGTCGTGCATCGTCCCGCGGTAGACCTGGCCGAGCGACGCCGAGGCGATGCAGTCGGCAGTGAGCTTGGCAAACAGCGGCGGCGCGTCGGGGTCAAAGCCCTCGTGACGCTGCAGCGGGGAGGGCAGGCCCGGCGCGAGCGGGCCCTTTGCCCCAAAGTCCTCGGCGATGACGCGGTAGGCCTCCTCGTTCGGGAAGGGCTCGTTCGACGTCTGCAGCCCCTTGAGCGCCTCGCACACGTCCTCCGGCAAAATGTCGGGCCGCTGGCTCAGCGTCTGCCCGACCTTGACGGCGACTGGCCCCAGGGCGGAGAGCTCGCTGCGCAGCACGACGCCGCGGTCGACGCTGCCGTCGGTCGCCTCCCACGCAGAGCGCACTCGCTGAAAGGCGCGCAGGAACTCGTACGCCCGCGAGACCATCAGCGTCGGCCGCCGCTGAAAGTATCCGACCACTCGATCGCGGTCGTACGTCGCGACGCCCCCGGGTAGGTTCAGGCCGACGACGGCCTCGAGCAGGAGCTGCGGGTTGCCGGTCAGCGCCTCCAGCGACTTTTCGATCTGCGCAAACAGCGGCGGCAGCGCCTCGGTCGTCGCCGCCGACGGCAGCTCCGCCTCGGGTGGCTCAGCGACGCTGCACGAGGCGGTCGCAGCGCGAGGCTGCAGCGCCGGCCGGAGAGGTAGCGACGGCTGCGGCGCCGCACGAGAGGGCGTACGGCCTGGCAGGACGGCGTGCGGCGCGTGCCACGCCCAGGCGAAGAGCAACATGGAGACCGCGGGAGAGACAGCGGAGAGAGAAGGCCGTCGAGCCAGCGGTGTCGAAGAAGTGTCACTTGCTAAGACGAGGCAACTAGGGGATCGCTCGCCGCTCGCTCGCACGTTCGCGCTCGACCTTCTACTTCCTCGTGATCCACCGCCGCCACCCTCGCCTCGCCCTCCCGACGCCTAGCCGCTCGCTCGCTCCTATCCGTGCCACGCCTATCCGTGATCCTGCCGTTACCGCGCCGTCCTTGCTCCTCCCTGCCGTGCCGCTCCTTCCTCCGTGCCGCGCCGCCCTTGCCGTTTAGCCCGCCGCCCCCCCTGCCGTCCGTTACCGCCGTGCCGCCGTACCGCCCGCCGCCGCCGCCCTCCACCCCCTCCACACCGCCGCCACCGCTGCTCACGCCGCCGCCGCCCTCCACCTCGCCCACGCCGCCGCTACCCTCCACCTTCTTCCCACCGCCGCCGCCGCCGCTCACGCCTCCGCCGCCTTCCATCTCGCCCACGCCTCCGCCGCCCTCCACCTCTCCCATGCCGCCCCCCCGCCCTCCACCTCGCCCACCCCTTTGCCACCACCCTCTCCTTCGCTCACCCCTTTGCCACCACCCTCTCCTTTGCCGCCCCTCGCCCCCACCGTTCTCCACCTCCACCCCTCACCCTCACGAGGGCCTAGCCAACGGCGTCCGATATTCCGCTGGAGAGAGTATGCCTTCGGCGTGCCAGACCGCCAGTGCGCCGGACTGCCTCACGGACTGGCTGGAGCGGCTGATAGCGGACACGGCGTTTGCGATCGCCAAAGGCGTCCTACCCGCCGAACGTACTGCGGCCTTTTTGGAGGACAACGGCGCAG